CGTGCACGATTTCAAGTGCAGACTAAAATTGAAATTTTTTGAAGAAGGCACTTTTATTAATCAATTATGTATTCGCCATCATGTTCGGCAATCCACTCCTAACGTTCAACTAATTTACTGATGCCTGATTCATAGAAATCGCGCGGTTTCTCGTTGAAAAAGGTGTCAAGGTGGTTTTTGACGTCTTCCACATTTTTAAATTTTTTTCCATTCAAATTGTTCTGCAGCGATCGAAACANAAAAAAAATATTTATTATTAAAACATCTTTACATATATAAATGAAAATTCGCACTAAATTCGTTTATATGTATATGTATATGTATAGTTCAATATTTTCCATCCAGCGGAATCGGGAACGAACTTATGCACTCATCCAAATATACGGTGCTGGGAGTGGTCAAATGGTTTCAGTTGTTGTGTGAGCTGAACTTTATATGGATGTAGATGTATGTGAACGTGCAAAAGACGCTATAATGTGCCGTAAGCTAGTCCCAGCTTTTGAAAATGTCGAGAAATATACATAATCGGGTCTTCAGTCACACTTTCAGTAAGAGTAGCGATAACTGAGGTGGAACGAGCGAAACATTGACGCACAGGCCTTTCAAGATCTGCCACCGATCACACCTATTCTCAGATTTTTAAAGTTTTACTAATTGCTTGAGTAGTTGGACATTTATGTGCACCATAATCTGAGCTTAAAGAGCGAAACATTTTCGTAAATGCTGGACTTTTAATTGAAGCGAAACATGTTCGGTTTGACACTTGAGTTTGAACGTGGTGAAAATACCACAAAATGGAAACCCCTATATGTATCTAAAAAAACTACTTTTTCCTGTTCTTTTCAGCAATTTATTGCTTCTGTTTTGTTCTATTTTTAAAGCGTTTTGTGACAAAAGCGAATGTTTTTTCGTTACACGTTATTGTTGTTATTTGGAACTCATACATATTAATTTGCTTCAATTATTATTTCTTAACATATTTGTAGCATATCAATACGAACCTCTCTCGCTTATAATATTTAAGTATGTTTAATATGTCCATATATTTAGTATAAAATGTAACTGTTATTTAATTACATATTACGGCAAGAAACCGCAAAGCGAACACATTCGCAAGTTCAACGAAGTGTGGGGAATATAATAATATTAATAATGTTGCAACTGGGTTTTTTTTCCAACGCAACGCACTGTCATGCGATTTTTAACATGCAACATACACGTATGTACATATATTGTATATATATGTATGTATTATTTAGTTTTCATTTTTATTAATATTTTTTCACCTACATTTTTTCCATTGCAACAGCTTGTGACGTATTTGCCGCTGTCTAGAAGCTACTTTATACAAAAAAAAAATAAATAAAAATAAAAAAAATATAAAAATAAAAAACATTAAAAGCAGTATTATACAATGGGAGCATGCCAGCTTGATTTTCTAAGCATTTGCAGTATATAGAAGTATTATTTTGCCTATGGCTACATAAACTAGAGATTACACCTCTTTTTTCTTGAGTGGCACTTTGCATATGGGTTTTTCCAATATGTCGCATGGGACAATCAGATCCTGAGCATTGAGGCTCGCAGATATTATAAATAATTTCATGAATACACATTGAACATTTCATTTCACGTAAATTAAAATGGCAAAAGGATTTTGAAATGTAAAATCATGAAATAATAAATAGATTTTATTGTCTGTGCGTGTGACCTCAATGGGGAATGCCGCCACCGTTCCCGCCCCACACGCGTCTACTCATAAAATAAAATTTTCAAATATTAAAAAAAAAAATATTACACGTGATTCCAAGCCATCAGTCACGAGCAATGTCCAGATAATGCATATGTAAATATATATAAATTGATATGAAGACAATGCTGTTCTCTTAATAAATCGGACAATGCAATTGCCTCCATGCTTCAATCAAAGTAATGTATTTAAATGTTAAATAATAATTGAATGGCATGAACAAAATGCAATTACTTTATTTACATACATACATATGCATATTGCGCATACGTGTAGTATATTGTATAACAAAACAGTATACAACAACTAAAGTCAAAGCAGTGCAAGGGTAAAACGGTAAAGGCATTGCAGATAAATAAAAAAATTATCTATTACGTAAGAAGCGCATATTTTTAGTGGAGCAAAAGAATTGTGTGTTGTAAATATTGTAGGTTAAGGCCGAATAGAAGCGTAAAGTAACGACAAATAAAGCGAAATTAAAAAAAAAAAACAAATAAAGCAAAAAATTACAAAAATAAATTATTTTACTACAATATTTTTTTTTCCTAGACAGACTGTAAACGAAGTCTTATTACTTGACAGCAGGAGCACGTTAAATGAAATTCTAATTTTTCTTAAAAAAAAATATTTATTATTAAAACATCTTTACATATATAAATGAAAATTCGCACTAAATTCGTTTATATGTATATGTATATGTATAGTTCAATATTTTCCCGTCAATAAAGTAAACTTAAATACAATAATTTGTGAAAAAAGTAAACACACAAATTTAATTGGAAAATTATAAATAAATTTACAAAAGAAGAAATGAATCTGAGTTGTATTTTTTCTGCGAAAAATATTGTACTTATTAAAAACTCTAAAGAATGTCAGAATTTTTATAAATAATTATTACATTAAAACAGTTTCAACTGTTTTAAGAAACAAATATTTACAAAGTCTTATAAAAATTTATAACACTTAAAAATAAAGTCATTACTCTGGTCTCTGGAAATACACCGTTCGACTTAAACAATTTATATTGTACTTTAAACAATCAGAAATATAGCCGTTATTTAAATATATATAGCAACTCTTTGTTTTATATTATATTCTACAATTAATATATACGAAATTAAATGAAAAATAATATAAAAAACTAACATTAATAAAATAAAATAATTTAAAATGAAATAAACCATTATAAAATACGATAAAAGACAAAAAATTACAATAAAATTAAATGAAATAATTTAAAATAAAATAAAACAAATTAAAGTAATATAGCAAAATATAAGAAAATAATATTTATATGAAATAAAACATTATAATATAAGAATAAAAATTATAAATATACAATAAAATTAAATAAAATAAATTTAAATTAATTAAGGTAAGTAAAATAAAATGTAACAAACTAAAATAATACAAAAAATAAAATGAAATCAACTAAAATAAAATAATATCAAATAAGATAAATTAAGGTAATAAAAAAATAAATTAAAATAAAATAAAAAATATGAAATATTAATTTTTATATAATATAATAAAATAATTTAAAATGAAATAAAACAAATTAAAATAATATAGCAAAATATAAGAAAATAATATTTATATGAAATAAAACGTTATAATATAAGAATAAAAATTATAAATATACACTAAAATCAAATAAAATAAATTTAAATTAATTAGGTAAATAAAATAAAATATAGCAAACCGAAGCAACACAAAAAAATAAAATGAAATCAACTAAAATAAAATAATATCAAATAAGATAAATTAAGGTAATAAAAAAATAAATAAAAATAAAATAAAAATATAAAATATTAATTTTTATAAAATATAATAAAATAATTTAAAATGAAATAAAACATTAAATAACTTATTATTAATAATATTAAAAATAATATAAAAAATAATATAAGATCAATTGAGGTTAATTAAAGTAATAAAAAAATAAAGAAAAAAATATAATATAAAACTGTAGGCTTATCCATTTTGCGGTTTCAAAAATAAACGTAAATAAAATGCATTTAAAGTTTTGCAAACTTCGATCAGTTCAAAGTAATTATCGACCACTTTATGGCACATATTGGGCGGTCTCCCAGCTATAACGGCACAAATGTTGGTTTTCAAGCGCTTAAGAATTAAAGGTTTATCCCTATACACACAAAAAAAAAAACTCAACATTGGCAAACTGCATAACGTTCCGAATTAACAGTGACAGTGACAGTTTCGACGTTGTCGTTTTCAAAGAAGTAAGGTCACACCTCCAGACCAAAGAGCTCACTAAATAGTAAGTTTTTATTAGGTCTAATGGCCTCTCTTCAATTATTTGAGGATTCTTGAAGCCTCAAATGTGAGAATCTTGCTTATTAACGTCGTAACCCCCGAGTGAGAAATGTGCTTCGTCGCTGAAGAAAAATTTGCTCGAATTTTTTTTTAGTTTTATCAATTGCTTGATTAGTGGGACGTTTATGTGCACCATAATCTGCTCTTAAAGCATGAATGAACGTATTTCTAGTAGGTTTCAACAATTTTGATGCGGTTGCTATGCGATCCATTTCCATAAATGCCTGACTTTGAGCTAAAAACAAAACATATTTGGTTTGGCAGATGTCAAAATGAGTACTTTTGAAATCGCGAAATAGATAACCCTATATGTAGAATAAAATACAATAAAATTAAGACAAAAGAAATAATTTAATGTTGAAATAAAATGAAATAAAATTGAACAAATAAATAAATTATAATAGAATTAAATTAAGCTGAATCTCCACTAGATTTATATATTAAATCATTATTATTATTTTAAATCATGATTGAATATTTTTCTTAATGGATTTTGAATGTTTTTTACTTAAGAATTTAAATTTAATTTAAATTAATTTAAAATTTAATAAGAATTAATAAAAAATATATGACTGAATATTTGCATAATTAAAATAAGACACTGAATTTATTGCTATTATAAAAAATAATTTTATTATATGAAATCTCGTAATTTTATTTTCCTCTAGTTTTTTAATTTATATAATACATAAATTTTTATATTTTTTTTAATAATATTTTTGATAATTGACAATTTAAAAAAAAAAAAATATCTTCATACTATTTACATTTGATACCATGAACTTGGTTAAATATTAAATGCATACATTTTTAATTCATTTATTTTTATTTTTTAATAAAATATTAAAACTAACATAAATTTATAATTAAATAAAATTATTTAAATTTAATTATACTTCCAAATATAATTTTATGAATTTTTTAATAGAATATATTAAAAACAAATATCGTTTTAACGTTACATAAATTCAAATAAGAAAATCTAACAGATTTCAATGACTTAACTCAAAGTATTAGTTAAATGCCGCCAACACTCTCCACAATACGCCAAAATTTCCTTTAACTACACCCAACACTCTCCACCACATTCAGTACAAGCCCGACAGCGTATCGGTCACCTTTGAAGCTTGCGCGCATGAACGCGAGCGCAGCGCGCCACCGCCCTGTGAGTTGCTGCTTTGCTGCACTACCACCGTCACGTTGTTGCCGCTATTTGCCGCGCCTCCACCACTACTGCCGCTGCTTAAGCGCATGGCGGGATTACTGCCGAAATAGATCTGTTGATTGCTACGAGATTTTTCACGCACTACTTGATGCACTAATGGCGCTGCGCTGCCGCCATCCAGTAATGATTCGTGGCTGGTGGATGCGAATGCTGCTTCTAGACGCTCAACATTCTTGGTAACGCGACGCGCTTGTAGCGCTGCAGTCACATCTGGTTTTGGATACTTTTGTGGTGTATTCATGCCCGTCATAAAGAAGACGCCGTTGAAATGTTGGGCAGGCGCTTGTGGTTTCTTCGCCGCCAGTTGAGGTGGTGGTGGTGGCGGCGCTACGGCGGACATGCTCTGGCGTTTACTGACGCATGTGGTTGCATTGTTGTTGTGATGATGATGCTGGTGCTGGTGTTGATGTTGGTGTGGGTGTTGGTGCTGCTGTTGATTGCTCGCCTCACGAAATGCCTTCATTGTCGGATCATCGTCACTGTGACGCGCATTCATTATGACATCGAGCAGTTCACGTGTCGTGCTCGCATTGTATGCGGTGGTGTTTGCACTCACCTCAGGTATATCAGGCGAGTCAATACTATATGGCTTTTCTATTTCCGGCGGATCATAGTCCGTTTCATCGAAAAATGTTTGCAATGCTGTTACGCGCTCAACGGCACCGGTATCACCGTGATTCTGTAGCATTAACATGCCATATTCGGAGCCGTCCAACTCAGAGCCATCAGCCTGCGAGACGAGGTGCGCAAGCGAACGTGATTTCCGTGGCGGTTGCGGCACTATGTTTACCGGCACAATGTCCTTCTCCTTAGTTGTCTTTGAGTCACTCAATTGCTGTTTAATTTGCTGGTGTTGTTGTTGTTGTAGTTGTTGGGAAGATATTTGCTTCTCAGCTTCACTTACAACATGATCCAACTCTTGCATGACATCCTCAATGGTGGTTGCAGTGGTACCAGTTGCCACACCACTATCGCCCATTGAATTGTCTGGTGACTTGGATTTGCTCTTATGCTGTTGCTTACTTGGCAAGGAAGCGCTGCTTTTCTGTGGTAACACCAATATAGGCACTGGGCTGAGTGATGGTCCCGTCTCCGAGCTACTGATGCCCTCATCCTCATGTTCGCTTTCATTTTTACCAGGCGGTACATGACGTGGCAATGCTACTGGTTGTTTGTCTAGAGACTTGAAGGTATTCTCATTTTGTGCGCCCTGCAGGCGGAAGATCTCACGCTGTAACTCAGCGCAACGTTCTTGCAGGCGCCGTTCCATGGAGGTGAGCACCGCTTTCTCTTCGTGTAGGATCTACGAAGGGGTTGTATAGAGGAAAAGAGTTTAAAAATATGTCACTTCCTTTTTGGAGAACTAAATATTTATGCCAAGGTTTTATGGCTCCATTTACCTGCACGCGTCGCTCCAGTATGACCATTTGACTACGCACTCTGTCCGCTTCACGCGCCTGTATAATCATTTTATCAACGTCCACATATAGCTCGTGAAAGCGTTTGATCTCATTACGTAGATTTTCATGCCACGAGGAAGCGGGTGATATGGTCTATAGAAAAATTTAGTCAGAAAATGGGGTATGTATAAGATTTGCACAAAGTGATGCGCACCTTTGCTAGAGAACCTGGCTCGAAGCCGGCTTGAAATAATTCCGCCTGCAGATACAAACGCTGCTGTAGACTCTCGGAGCTCTCCAGGAAAGAATTAATAAATCTGCAATGAAAAAAGTGTTTTTTTAGCCAGATCTCAGTTCTTGCTTCCTCTAAACTACTTACTTGACGCCCACAGCTTGCAGCTCACCTGAGCCGCCACCACTATTCAGCATACCAACGAGTAAGCGGAAACGTACCGGCTCACTGCAACGTAAACGTAATGTTGACATAGCCTCCGATACGGCCGTATGACCAGCAGTGACTGACTTCTGAGAGCCATGTCCCAGTGCGGTTTTATCGCAAGCAGCAGACATCAGCTGCATGGCCAAGATGCGTGCGCGTATGCCCTGACCCGTCGCCGAGGAAGCCAAAGGCATGAGACCGACTGGCGTAGTGCCCAAACGCGCGGTGGCATCCAAAGAGCGTGAGCAGCAAATGCTGAGACATTGACTGTGGGTAGAAAGCAAAGAAAAAGTTGAGAACTGAAAATTTCAAAAGCAGCCAGTAGGAAGTGTCTACTCACAGACAAGCCAGCTCGTCAAGCAGCGCGCGGCGCTGATAGGACTGCGGATTGCGTGGCATTGAGGCTGTCATTTGATTCGGTGTCATGGCGGAATTACTGCTTTGTGAGAGTTGTATGGCGCGTAGCACTTCGAGTAGTAGACTTATGCCGTCCGAGGGTGTGGCGACGAATTCTTGAACAAAGCTGGGCGGTATCGAAAAATTAAAAATATTAAAGTAAAGCTCCAAAAAAAAAGAGCGTCAAACTAACCTTGGAAAAGAGACACGTAAATCTGCACGCAATTTAGTTAGCAAATCAGTTACCGAAGCGAACTGCCGCAAGGACATCTCGCCATCACTTTCAGGCGCAGTCGGTATCGGACTCCTGAGAGTGAAGGCGTTAATGGATAGTTATTTATTAGATTTAGCAAAAACATTAATAATAAGCTTCATGAAAATATTTGCATATTTTTTTCATTTGAATTGAATATAAAAAATATTAAAATATTTAATTTATATATATACAAAAAAAAATATTTAAAATTAAAAATGTAGAAATATATTTACTTGTACTCCGCATGCTTGTGTGGTAATGTTGAGGATTTGTGATTTGTATTTTCATCTTTATTATTTCCATTTGTTTTTGTTTCATTTGTATTATCATAAATTGAACGCACAGTTTGACCACTCTGACGTTTGCCGAATTTTTTCAGCGACTGTACATAGTCTTCGGGATTGTATACCGGTGGACGTTGATTCTCCTGGAAAGATAATCATTTTTTTAATTTATTTAATTTATTAATAAATTAAGGAATTAATTAAATAATAGTTTATTAAATTTTTTTTAAAATAATTTAAAAAAATTTTAATTTATTTAATAATAGCTAGGGAAAGAAGAAAATATAAATTTCAGCTATGTATGTATGTATGTATACAGCTTACATATAATAAATAATAGTATTAAAAAATGTAATAATAAAATTGAGATAAATAAATAAAATAAATTGATTTTTGTTTTTAACTCAAAAATTCTTTATAATTTTTTCCACAAATAATTTTTTTTTTAATTTTCGGTGTTATTGAGAATTGCATGTGAACTAATCTTCACCCAAATTTTCAACATAAAACAAAACTAATTTCGATTTACTGTTTTTGTTCTCTATCGAAGTTGCTATACGAATTTTGCCACATGAAATTCCCAATAAGACTGATTAGACATATTTTCTTCATAAAGCTTCTGAGCATTAGTTAAGAATTCATTTCACATAGCTTCTATACAGAGAACACCGCATAATAACAGTTTGAGAGCTTGTATTAGCTGCTGACAGTAACGCCATTATGTACACTAACATTACCACAGTTGCTGTGTGGTGAACTATATTCTGTTAATGAATGCTTCACTTCGAAGCAGCAGCTGTCACAGCTGCAAACAAAATCAGCTTTGAGCAAATTTTTACCAACGTCCTCGATAGTATAGTGGTCAGTATCCCCGCCTGTCACGCGGGAGACCGGGGTTCAATTCCCCGTCGGGGAGATATGAAATATTTTTTTAACGTTATTTTTTTTTTATAAAGTTATTTGATTTGGTAATAAATAAAATAATTTTTTATGTCTACCCTTTGCATTAACCTTCCCTTCAAAAAATGAAAATAATAAATTTAATAAATTATATTTAATATAAACGAATTTTGCAAGTTTTCGGTAGAAAGGAAAAGAAATGCATAAAGTATTTAAAAAAAAATTTACATTTTGTATTTGTATATGATTTTTAAAATTGCTTTATTTGTATATATTCACAATTAAAAATATTAAAATATTATCAAATAGAAAAAAAATAAATAAATAATAAGAAAATAACAATAAAGTGAAAATAATAATTAAATAATGGCCATCAAAATAATGATAAAAATCTATTAATATTCAATGACAAGAATTTTCCCAAATATTCTTTTTCGTTTCACTTTTAAACAATTCGCTCAGAGAACGTAAATAGAACGAGAAGGTTTAATTGCGGACCAGCGTGTAAACTGTCAAAAGCTGCCAAGTTACGATGGATGTTATGTTATGTATTTACGCTCTCTGAACCTTCTCGTTGTATTTACGTTCTCTGCAAAGTATGCTAAAGAAAGTAATAGAAAGTAAGGAAAAAGTTTCTTATGCACCATTTGACATAACGGTATCAAAAGTCCCGTATTGTCTAGTGGTTAGGATATCCGGCTCTCACCCGGAAGGCCCGGGTTCGATTCCCGGTACGGGAAAACTAAATTTTTTGTTTTCTATTTTGCTTTTTTTTAATAAAATGATAATAAGAAGCAGGTGTTTTTGACCTATTTAATCCATTGCAAAATTGAAAAATCTGTTCCAAGATCACACTCTACCTGTAAAATGCCGGACACTCATAGTTCACATTTCATCCCTTCCTATCGTTTTCTGCACATGTTGTCCTCAAACACGTCTAATCTCAGGCATGCGAGGCCAACAAGCCTCCGCTCTGTTACTAGAAGTTAGAGTTTGAGCTCTTTGTTAATAGAAGAAACTTAGTCAGCTATTCCTTATAGGTTTTCCACATAAGATTCACCATCTTGCAAACTTTTTTATTTTGTATTTTAAATGTAGAAAAACGTGCAAACAAAATTCAGTAGAATATAAATGTAAAAAAAATAATAATAAAAAGAATTAAACAAAAAATAAAAAAAAATTATTTTCCCGTACCGGAAAAAAATTTTAATATTTTGTTTTCAAATCAAAAAAAAAATGTTCAATCAATGTTAAGTAAAATAATAATATAAAAAAGTACGCTTATTATTTTAAAAGAATTAAAAATAATAATTAAAATGTAATTTTCCCGTACCGGGAATCGAACCCGGGCCTTCCGGGTGAGAGCCGGATATCCTAACCACTAGACAATACGGGACTGTTAATTAATCGACCAAACAACCAACCAGAAGCTCTATATAACTACTTCACTGTGAAGTTAACAGTCTCCACTGTCGACTTTAACAGAGAATAATAAAATAATTTCTCTTAACATCCTAAAGCGCTGTAATCGTAGTTTAATTACAGCAGCTGATTCATGTTAACTTTCAAGCATTTTATATACGAACATAATTAACGAGTAAGGCACAGCAACTGCTAAAGGAAAGTGAAAACCAACGAAAAATATATACGTATGTAAGTCATATTTCATTTGTACGCACCTTATTGAAAACCGGCTGTGACCAGCTATTCTCCGAACTTGACATTTTATACGAAGCCATCGAGCCGTTAATGCTACTGCCACCACAATTGCTCTTCTGCGTAATGGATGGTGCAGAGATTGTCGTGCCTACACCACCTACACCGCCAACACCAATACCACCACCAACACCACCACCACCACCACCACTACCACCACTACCAATAATCGTTGTGCTGGTGGTCATGGTGGCACTATGTGCAGCGGCTGCTGTTAATTTTGGTGAATTTTGACAAACGCTTGGCGCCATCGAATAACCGTTTAAATGATTGCTGCGCTTTTGATGGTGACGATTGTTGTGCTGGAGTTTATGCTGTGGCAACTTCTCCTGCAGCTCTTGTTGTAGTTGTTGCTGTATGGTGGGCGCGTAACGCTGTTGATAATAGGCGGAGATGTCACTGCAAGCAGAAGAGGTAAATAAAAAATGTTTATTTATTATTAAAAAAAAGTATTATAAATGAAGTGATTTGTTTTCCTCCCGCGTGTTGGGAGGAAAAGTAAAAACTATGAAACATTTAATAAACAAAAACTATGATTTGATCGATGGCACATTGCGAGTTTAGGTAATAAATAATATGATTTTCAGGTTGGGCTGTTAATGAAGGCGAAATCGAATTTGTGTATGCACATACACATGCGTCTACAAAAGTAGAGTTCAGTTGAAGTTCAATTAATTTTGGTAGGCAAATTTCACTTGAGGCAACTTCTTTCACCGATGCCTGAGTAGGTGTGTCTTTGCGGCTGCTCAGTTCAACTGATTGATTAATGTACATTGGTGAGTAGGCCTCGCGGCTTCTGCTTGGCAAATATGTTTACATACACGTATGTTCATACATATGCATGTACAGCAAGACTAACTTTGACTTCGATGACCCTACATGCTCGTTATCCCGTTTACACAGTGAAATTACTAACTACAAGCGCACAAATGATAGCGTTGCAAATGTGGTTGTCACTTAGTTTCCGCTGTTCACCGCTTCAGCTTTTCAGTCTCAGTTCGCTAAAAACATGTTTATACTCACGACTCTCCCATGACACTTTGTGTCTTTATAACTTACAATTAATGTTCTTCATTAGTTTTTACGCATAATTTCTTGTCGCCTTTAATACCCACAGCCGTGTCACTTGCTTGGGTGGAGGAAAATCATAATTAAAATGACACTAAATGGACAGCAGGAAATAAGCGTTGATTGTTTTTAATATTTTTTTATTTTTCACTCGATCATTCAATAGTCAAATGTGTTGGCTGTGATTATGGAGTTAATGAAATTATGTGTATGGGCGTGGAATATTTGTGGTTAAATGTGTTGACAGCAAATAGTAATTCAATTGTAATATTTATTAGTATTTTCTTATGAGCATTGACATTGCAATAATTAAATTTTTTTTTTCGAAAAATATGGTTAAATTAAAATGTAATGTTTAGTGATTTCATAAATTGATCATTCATGTTGCAATAGATGTGTTCACCAACTTAGTTGCTTAACCTTTATATGTACATATGGACATATATTCTGGCGTTGCAGCGATTTTCAACCGACCTCCTCCTCCAATTTGTAGTCGGCGTCTTGAGGTTTTTTCGCACAAATGGTGGGACCTCCGGCTGATGATTTTTTTTATGAGAACCTTTTTATTCCCTGTCTGAAATACACTAGGAGGAGTCGACGTTCTCTTTTATATAGCTTTGGATTTTGTTCTGGCCAAGATTCGAAGCTCATCGTTCGCATATTAGTACGTACTGCTAATGCGGCTCTAGGATTTTCAGCATTGAACCAAAATTTTTCATATTTTTCTTCAGTACTTGAAACTACGCCAAGCGCTTTTGACGGTATATTTGTTTTTGCTTTTTTTTCTTCTACTTTTTAGTGTTAGACAACTGTTACGGATGCTAAGTGAAGTCACCTCACTTTCTACAGGATTCTTTCAACCCAGTGAAAATTTTGCACTTTATCTCCTTACACCGGTGAGGCCACATCGAAAATTCTCAAAGCTGAGATGTTGTCCTTTATACCGACAGCAGTATTTAGTCAGAGTAATCGCTATCTCTAAAACCATATAATTAATTACAGGCTGTAGGAGGATGTGGTCTTGTTTATATAGAGCTTTCCCACTCCAGCATCAAGGTCCATGCACCGTGGAAACATTACCAATCGTTGTGCAAGATCACCAATCGTTGTGCAAGATACGGCAACCAACCCGTTCGGGACCTTTGGTCATGGATAAAAGCGCTTCAATGAAGCTACTCCGAAATATACGTATAAGGATTCATTGAAATCTAATTGACGCGTCTAGCTACGCACGGATCTCAGTCTCAAGCTACTCGCCATAAACATATTTATTTCAATTATGTTAGTATAAGCAAAGGTACTAAGGACTATGTAATGTCTGATCTCTTAATTGGAAAGGGCCCATTAACCAGCTGGTTGACGTCCTCTAACGGCAAAGGACGAGTACTGACGCCCTTTGACGTCTAAAGTCTAATATCACTGCTATTTAAAAAATGCCATGAACGGCACTAAACCAAAAGGGGGGTTCTTGTGGCATTTATTACAGTGGTAATATGAAGGAGCACGAATTTAATATTGGACTCATGGTGAGACGCAGTATATGAATGGTGAGCGACCTATAAAATATAGCTTTTGTTCGCCGAGAGAATTAAAAAAAAAAAAATACATTTTAAAAGCCGACACAGACCAAAGCAGTGTTCACTGAGTGTTTGTTTGATAGATAGCAGTAGATATTTCGTCTTATCCGCTTTCGCTATCAAACCTGTAACAAAAATAGCTCGATATTATCGACATGTTGTGTCAATCTCTGCTTGGTTTTGCAGCGTATAGGATTTTCTCAAGCACTAAATCAAAGAAGTCACTCGAAAGAGAGCCATCATGTGTGAATCCTCATTTGGTACTGATCTGGTGAAGCTCCTTTCTAATACTGAGTGTGTTTCTCTTTTCTTCAGTGTCAATTTATTCAGCATAAGTAAGTTTTGAAGTATAGTTGCTACTGTTAGTTTGCGATGACAATTCATTTTTTTCACTTTTATCATTATTCCAAGTGTTTTGAGGTACACTACAATTCTCTTAAACTGTTTTTACATAGAGCCGCGACTTTTTTATTTCATTAGACTTCGTAGGGAGTGTTGAGTTGATGCGGCTGCTGGTCAACCCCAGTACATTGAGGCCAATATGCCCGTGTTGGGACTACTTGCCTTTAATAGGAATCAATCGCCTTGGATGAGAGAGAGAGAGAGAGCATTAAGCAAGCCTTAAATGAAAGTAAACAAGCCCAGATTGTTTTATTTTGACTGTTTTTCTTATTAAACTATTATTAATCAAGGACTTTGTTCGAACACTCGTTCTGGCACCGATGAAATTTTCTCTTCAATTTTCAAAACGATGATATATGGGGAGCAGATAATTTAATAAATTTAAAAAAAATCTTCAAAATACCTAAATCTTCTGTACATATTCTGTAGAACAGAATAGAATTTATTTCTTTCATATTTTTAAACAAACGTTATGCGATTCCAAGGATCACATACAAAGGACCAACTAAGAGATGGTGTGAAAAAAATTTATTTCTCCCCGGCGGGGAATCGAACCCCGGTCTCCCGCGTGACAGGCGGGGATACTGACCACTATACTACCGAGGACTGTTAATATCCTGTCGCTCAAAGCGCATCCTAACTGGCATGTCACTTAACAGTCCTTTATTATGTAAGCAAAAGTATTTCGCGACAAGAAGAAGCAGCTAAGGACAGTTAACAATTACGCAGTTTAACAATATTCACAATAACAAAGGACATAAAATAGTTAGTACATCAATTTACTTAAATGAATGCATTATGGTATAAATTTATTTGAGAATTAAAAATTTTCAAAATATTTTTTTTTAAGTTATTTCAACCACTAACATCTAACGAGCTTACAATTATCTCTAGTAGTCATTAATTAACTAAGAAATTGAGCCTTTTTCCAGCACAGAGAAATAAGTAGTTTTCAACACCGTTAATTTGACATTAATCTTCAGCAATTAGTACAAGAGTTACGTGCAAAAACGCGTATTAAATATGCAAAATGCTGTCAGGCAACGGTCGTACAGGCATTACTCGTAGGCGTGAGTTTTTCTTTTTTTCTTTTTTAATCAAACTAGTTAGCGGCAAAATAAAAATATATGTAAATGTCAAAAAAAAAAAAGAAAAAATAAAAAAACATTAAATAAAAAATTATGGAGAATAAGTAAGACAGTTAGGTAAACAAGTTTTCGGCAGCGAACTGAAAAGTTGCTGCAGTTCATGTTTTCAAGTTTATTTTTACATATGTAAATATGTGCACACATATGTTTACTTAAGGATATACTACACCATGCATATATATTTATAGTTTTATTTTTATTAATTTTTTTCCTGATAAAACCGCCACTGACTGGCTTAAAGACTAGCGCAGAATGACAGTTATTAGGGAAAGAAATTGTTTTTGATTGGCAAGCAACTGATTGGGGTAAAAAGGTTTAAATTAGCTGAAAAAATGAGACAAATCATTTGAACGTAAATATATATATTGTTTTCCTGATCGCAATATTAGAGTGAAAATAACATTATTTTGAAGGAGCAAACGTTTGAAAGTAAGAAATAGGACAATAATCGGCACCAGAAATGTATTGGTCTTATAATTTCAGCGTATGTTAGTAAAAATAAAAAAACTTCGATACTGAAAGTTTATGGTTCAAATTTATTACCATTTTCGAAAAAATCACAATTTTCTAAAAATCAAAAAGAAACTCCAGTCTCATGACCTTTTGAAGCGATAGATCTGAATTCTAAGTGTTATATCGGTTCAAAACAATATTTGAAATGAGCAAGGCTATCTTCAAATTTTTCGGGAAGCTGGCACACTTTTTAAATATTTTTTTTTTCAAATTCCACATTCAATTTTCTTCAATTTTATGAGTATTGCAACTCTTAAAGAACGCTACGGCATAATCTATTTATTAAGGATACTCTTAAATCTATGGAAAATTTCATGAGAAATTTATAAAAAAAAATTTCAAAATTATAACACAATCCTAAATTGGTTAAAAATACCAACTACGAAGTTTTTAAAAGTTTTTTTTTTTTGGAGAATGATTTTTTGAACCGATGTAGCTACTTTTATTGCCTTAAATTTATTCAGAGTTAAAATCAATCACTTCACAGATTCTCTGAAAAAAAAATCTTTTTTATGTTGGTTAAATTTTGATTTTCTCGAAAATCGTAATAAATATATGTTTGTAGATCTTGCAGTAACGAAATAACTCATTGTCTTTCTATGACTTAAAAAAAATTTAATAAAATTGTGTAAAAACTATCAATACCTTTCTGGAAATCCTCGTTGATCCCCGCTTTTTTCATATAAATAATTTTTGAATTACCCTTTATTTTTTGGTTGGGAAAAATATTAAGTTTCCCCACTAAACGCACTTAAACAGTACTGTTATAATTTTTTGAAATTAATTTTTTTTTACCTAAAAATTTCCACTATTTTCTATTTTAAAACAGTGTTAAACCGTATATGTATACCTCATTTGCTAATTTACGTAGCTGCCACATACAATAAGCTAATAATTTATGCACCTTATGCTAATAATACTTTAACGGTACATCATTGATGGCTTAAAAATAGTATTTATGCTTATGACAAAACGAAATGCTAGTGGAACGCAAAGATTTCATAACAACAATAAACCTAAGAACAAAGCACATTCACTGGTAAAGAAAAAAAGACTAAAATAAAAAATTGAAAAAAAATACAGTATAATTCAAAATCCAAAAAAATCTTGAATGAAAACCTAAGCGCGTTGTCAAACTGTAGGCGTTAATCGGAATTCCATCAGCGACAGGTGACAGCGGCGATTGGCGACTCACTCGACGTGTCTGTTGCGGACAACGGCAAACAAAGTGTCCACAAAACTTGCGTTGAAAGGGGCAAAAATGCATAACATGAAGTGAAAAGTTACCTACTCTTTTTTTCTCTTGTTTTTTTTTCCATAGAAATTGACAAAATGTAATAATAAAAATATGAACCGCATCCATTGCAGGTTTTATACGGCCACAAGCGTTTTATAGCTTTAATACACGCCGCTTGGGTTCTTGCGGTGAAGCAACTGTTTTAGCGGTGTTATGATAATTTTTTTTTTCTTTTGAAGAGAACAATGTACGTATTTTTTATGAATAAATATTTCATTGCGCATTTTTAATATTCTTTCGAAATACTCTTCATCTTTGGGGCTCAATTAGTATTTCCACTGCGTTTAGTTGTGTAATAATAATTTTATTATTTACTTTAAAAAATTAATATGCACCACTTGTAGTCAATAATCGCGCGTTAGTAATCAGGCATACGTTTTCCATTGAAAAAAAAAAAATGTTTTTTTTTTTTGTTCTGAAAACCCAAATGAACTTCTTGCTGCATATGTATGTATGTAAATATTTAATTTGAAATAAATATTTCTAACTTATTTCTGCATAAGCAATAAATCATAGCTTCTATTTTATGTTTTTTTTAACTTATTTATAATATTTATTGTCTTTAATTTAATGTCTTCTTTACCACCACTCATACTCTAAGACGAAGTTGACTTTTAGTTTGCCAACACTCAACATTTGCTCATTTTTCAATGCATACTCAATATTCTATAAATTTCTCGGCGTGCAATTCTTCGTAATACATTTTTCGTTTACCATTAATTTTTTCATCGTTATTTTCTTATCATTTGTATTGCAACAATTTGTTGTACTCGTTAAGGCAATTATTGGCCAAGCACGTGATTCCCATATGAATACAGATATTTTTATTCCTTTTTGCTTTTAAAAGTGCGTGCTGTACTTTATGATTCAGAGAAGAATAAAGATATAAGAATAGACTGACATAGACATTTTTATTCCAGCGACCATCAAAATAGGTAAAATTTTTAATTTAATACAATATTATTAAGCGCAATGGCAGTTTTCAGAGATAATAGAACAATGAATGCCTAAATTACTTAGAATAAAATTTAAATCATAATTTTATTTAAAAATATTCAATTATACATTTCTTTTTAATATCCACAAATGTTGTTTACACTCTTCATATATGTAGATTAATCCAACGTGAAGCCATTAACAGCAGTCGCCTTTGTTAACAGAGCACTGTCTACATACAGGTAACAGTTTATTTCAACTTAGTCCAGAGTAGAGTTGTCAATTACATCTTTTTCTCAACAAAAGCGTTGGCAATAAAAAATTTGTTTTTCGTAAAACGATTTCTTTTTATTGTTTAATTTTTTCGCTTTATCTTTAATTTATGTATCTATAGTTAAGTAGACATTTTGGGCTGAAAAAAAAAACTTTCTTTAATATTTCAACTGAGTTTTTTGTTGTTGTACTCAAATTAAAAACTTTTTATTATCAAAAGACAATGATTAGAGCTCAAAATATAAAAGAAAACGTTTTTGACTTAGTTACTGCAGCAATGTTGAGCAGTACTGTTAATGATTGACACGCTGTTAACTTAACAGTTCACCATGCCTTTGTGGCTGGAAATGTTATGTGTCACGCAGCAAATGTACAGCACTGAGAAAAGGGTTTTATATATCCCATATGGTCTAGTGGCTAGGATATCTGGCTTTCACCCAGAAGGCCCGGGTTCGATTCCCGGTATGGGAAATAATTTTTTTCTTTGTTTTTTTTTTTTTTTTGGTGAAATAATTTTTCTGGAAATATTTATTATATTATTTTGTATGATTAAAATTATTAAAACAAGGTATAGTGGGTTGAAAGATTTTTTGGTGCATTGACATGTTTGAAATGAAAAACGCTCGCAGGGTCGAGTCGTTTGGTGAAAGTTTGCATTACCAAGACTACCAAAATTAAATTGTTTTATACATTATTGCACGAATACACCCAGCCTTGAAGTTGTTAATAACTTTTTTTTCATCTAGAAACACGCGTGACTTGTTTTATGTGGGCTTAGAAAAATAAATTAAGCCGTAGTGGAAAATTTTGCTATAATTAGTTTTAATAATAAGCTGATAAGGCTAGAAATTAGAAGTTTGAATTTCTCTCAAAAACTAATATAAAGCTTAGAAGCTGCACCCTTTTTATTTTAGTTTATTTGTGTTTCTACTAAATTTCGTGCCAGTTGTAGATGGTTCGATAAAAGGGTTTAGATTTTTATAAGAGTATATACATATCTATAAAGTGTTTTCTGGAAAGCTCTTGAAATCGTATTAACTACACTCAGCTGATAACAGTACCATAAACTCCGTGAAGACAATAAAAAATAATACAATTTTAACTAGAAAATAAAGAAGAAGCAACAATAAAGACAAATATATAGTAACAAAAGCGCAAGCAGAAAGAAATTAATTGCAAATGCTTATACGAAAGCGAATGATACACACGCGCTGACAGCAGCAATTGGCAAGCGTGAGCAAGTTTACTTGAATGATTACTACATCCCATCACAAGAGTAGTTTTTTTTTTGTTTGGTTGCAAGCAGTTACCGTTAAATTTCATGTGAATTGCATTCAACAGCGTGATTGCGTTTTTATGTCTATTTTACAGTAATTTTGAAAAATATTTGAAAACAAAAAACTCTTTGCGCGTGTGAAGTTTTGAGCGCTTGCTTATTTAAAGTTGCGGTTATTTGTTGTTAAAGAAATGCTAAAATTTATAGAAAAAAGGCCAAAAAATAGTAAAGATAAAATCTAAACTTAATAATAGAAACTAATAAAAAATTAAACAAAATAAAGCGAACTACAGAAAAAATAACTAAATAAAAAACGAAAAAAATAATTAAATAAATAAAAAGAGAACAATTGCAATTAGTAACAAGAGGCTAGAGCTGTCAATGACGGAAGTCTTTATACCCTTCATGAACATATGAAATTTGTGGTATTTTATTTTTGTATTAAATATTAATTCTGCTAACTGAAAAGTCGTTTAAAGTGGGGCTGTGTGATATAGTCCTCCGATTATGATGTTTTTCGGGACAATATTTTTTTTTAATTTTATGCTTTTAGATGATTTTTTTTAGGCAAAACCTCATATCTGCGCAATTCGTATGTATGGGACTATATGATATAAATTTTCGAAAAAATTTATTTGTTGATATAAATGTATTTTATACTCTTAGTTGTAAAACGTCATATCTGAACCAAGAGGTTGCATTGGAGCTATATAATCTATTGATTTGATCCTCAAGTGATCTTTAAATTACATGAATACATCCGCATACTGAGTTTCTTTCAAATGTCTCAAAACTTGGCAGAGTAGCACACGCCCTAACAGACGAATGGATAAACAGACAGACAGATTTGCATAAATTTTGTTGGCTCTGCCTCTTCTGCTGCTGTTACTTACAAACTACGTGCAAAAGTTGATGTAACATTTCATGTTCATGAAGGGTATAATCAAAACGGAATCATTCAAAAGCAAAAATTGACAAAAACTATAAAATTATTAATTAAATTTGTTTTAATTAAATTTGGTACGCACTGTTCGTATCATAAGAAATGATCTTTCCAAAATAAATATGTGATCCACATATATGTCAACAACAGTTCAACACAATATTATCAAAAAAAAAGATGTTTAACTAAAAATAGTGCGAATTTTGCTGAAATTGAAATCAGTTTTTAGACACTTCAAATCTACAGGCGCTCTGAACTCGTGAGATAATAGCACTTAGATAACTTCTTACTACTGAAAACTGATCACTCAGAGGCCTGTCTAAAACTCTACAGAGTATATAGTCTTCTTATCTACTTCACTAGATATTACGGTACTTACATAACAACCTTAACGCAAAATTTACTATAAAAGCACCGTCATTTACTGAGTTGTATCATAAGTGTTCTTAAACTTAAACGATCAATATGAAAGTGTGCGCCTTCTTCCTACTCGCTTTGGCCTTGGCTACACCAGCCTTTGGTAAAACATTTACACGCTGCACCTTGGCACAAGAGTTGCTCAGTTTGGGTGTACCGAAAGATCAATTGGCAATCTGGACGTGTATTGCTGAGCACGAGAGCTCTTATCGTACCGGTGTTGTTGGTCCAACTAACAAAAATGGTTCCAACGATTATGGTATCTTCCAAATTAACAACTACTATTGGTGCCAGCCTTCTAGTGGTCGTTTCTCCTACAATGAATGCAATTTAAGCTGCGATGCTCTGTTGACCGATGACATCAGCAACTCTGTGACATGCGCTCGCAAGATTCAAAAACAGCAAGGTTGGACTGCCTGGTCTACATGGAAGTATTGCAACGGTACTTTGCCTAGCATCGACTCTTGCTTCTAAGTTGTTTTCAATCGATGGCAAATAAAATTTATAAAAAAATATATTATGGATGTTTTTTATTTTATGCAACAGTGAGGCTGTGTAGTCCTCACTCGCAGTACTGAAGAAAAGATGTATGGGGGAAAACGCAAGCAGCTGGATCAAAAAAATAAGCCCTTAACTTTTCCTTTCAGTTAATTGAGTTGCATTTTCATATATAGAACAGGCGGTAATAAGCCAGTGCCTTAAGTTATGCAATGTTTTACTTTCCTATCACGGTAATATGCACCGATCTCTTCAACCGCAAACCGCTGTCTGAAAGCTTAGACCTAAAAATCGATACGGTAGGGAGAACAAATGTGTACTTCATTTATCTGAATATGGTCAGAGTCAAGATTCGGAGATCTCTGAAGAGGGGTAACCACTCTCCTTATTCCACAGGAAATTTGCTTAAAATTGAAAAACAGACGATGAATAGACTCAAGTGCAGACCAAACGCTCTTCATAGAGAATCCAAACTTAATTTACCGCTATGCACAATAAATTAATAAATAAGAACTTAAAGATCTGAACACAGTGCAAAACTTAAGCAAATTAACACGCTTTATTTATCAGCAAAAAGGAAATAAACAGTAACAGCTTAAAAGCATGGGTCAATACTGGGCTGAGCACCGTTGTAATATTTCCATGTAGACCAGGCAGTCCAACCTTGTTGTTTTTAATCTTATTCCCGCACTTCACACAGAGTTGCTGATGTTATCGTTCAACAGAGCTTCGCGGCTCAAATTGCATTCATTGTAGGAGAAACGACCACTAGAAGGCTGGCACCAATAGTAGTTGTTAATTTGGAAGATACCATAATCGTTGGAACCATTTTTGTTAGTTGGACCAACAACACCGGTACGATAAGAGCTGTCGTGCTCAGCAATACACGTCCAGATTGACAATTGATCTTTCGGTACACCCAAGAGCGACATTTCATGCGCGTGAGAGCAGCTTGTGAAAGTTTTGGTGCTAGCTGGTGTGGCGAGTAGACAGAAGGCGCACACTTTCACGTTGATTGTTTAGCAGAAGAAAACCTTACTGATAAAACTGAGAGAGTGTCAGGGCGTTTATAAAGAGGTTTACCCTCAAGCGAGATAAGTATGTAGGTACTCGTATGTAACTGTTTTAAAGTGTAATGGCGAGTAAACATCGATAAAAAATTATTTATAAATATTTTACATTAGTCACTGGCTGTTCAATGGTGACAGCAAGCCGTATGCTTGAACGCTGCTATCGGCTATAGCTTAATGTAATGTCTGCATATATCATATTTATTAATAATACAGGGCTATCCATTTTGTAGTTTCAAAAATAAACACAAATAAAATGTATTTAAAATACTTTTTTCACCAAATTCCTCTTTTTTTATAATTAAAATTTGAATTTTGGCATTTTATGTGAAACACCACATCCTTCAAATGACCGCCTCGTTGATTTCGACCACTTTTTCGCACATATTTGGCGGTATCTCAGCCATAACTTGACGGATATTGGTTTTTAAGTGCTCGAGAGTTAAAGAGTTTTTCGTGTAGGCACACAAAAAAGTATAACGGTCTCAATTTTCACGATTTCGTTGGCCAATACGAGAGTTTACACGGCTGGGAAATTCTCTGGCAATATTCGTTCGTGTTGCGTGGCATGTGGCACCATCTTGTTGAATCCACATATTGCCCAAGTCGTGTCCTTCAATTAAAGGAAAAAAAACTAGATTATCACACAGCCATAACGCTCTGTATCGACATTAACAGTCTCGCCATAGTCGTTTTCAAAGAGCTAAGGTCGAGTCACACCTTCGGACCGAAGAGTGCACCAGAAAGTGGGTTTTTTTTTTTGGTTGTAATAACCTCTTTATATTATTCGAAGTCTCTCGGAACCTCAAATGCGACAATTTTGCTATTTACGTATTTACCGAGGAAGAAAAGTGCCTCGTGGCTGAACAAAATTTTGTTTGAAAAATGGCCGTTCACTTCTCATTGTTGAAGCATCTTAGTGGGTACCGACCAAGTTTTTCCTAAGTTTCTTAAAGTTTTACCAATTACTTGAGTAGTTGGACGTTTATGTGCACCACAATATTTACTTAAAGCACGAATCGTGGCTACGTTTGAATCCCCATTTTCAATGATAAAACCTACTATAATTTAAATTTTTTCTATGTGACCTCATAAAGAGAGTAAAAATTTTGGTTTTAAATTGGCAACAGTTAACACAGCACCTCAGGTTTCCAAATTACTCTAGCAATTGAACTAAATTTCACAGCTAAACGCATATAATTTCAGTCTAAATTTGCGGCAGAAAAATTAGCATTTCAAACGTGAGGAATTTTTCTTGCAGAAAAAAACTTTCGCTTAAAATTTTTTTTAACTCTTAAATATTTTCTTTCAATAGCTCATTGCAACGTACTATCATTTCAGTGCGAGAAGCCTTCAATTATGCGCGGCTTTCCATTGAACATTGAACGATTTGCTTGAGCGAATGCCTTGGCATTGTATTAGTACAGTTTGAAAAGCAATGTAGTGGCATTAAAACTTAAATTGTGTGATTGCAGCCAAAGGCTTTTTGCGTTTGAAGTACATACATACACGTACATACGAATTTAACGCTGAGAAAGAGGAAGAGTTTTTGTGGGGGTAAGGCGATGAAGTGCGGTGGCGTAAGCTTCTATGGTTTAACTACGAAACTAAGCACAGCGCGCGAAGCAACAACAAGTGGCACTGCTCGGCTGTCAGTGCAGGTGCTGGTGGTGATGGGTGCTTTCAGACTGCCTTCGGAAGCCGCGGTGGGCGTGTACTTATGCATACTAATGCATAATTAGGTGGCATAGCGGTGTGCAGCCAACACAACTACCGTTAGTTAGCTGTAAAGTACTGCGTGCGCAATGAATTATGCGAAATTTAAGTGAAATATTGTTTTATTGCATACATTTTATTTATGATTTCTTACAATATTTTCCTCTATACCAAAGTGTGTAGGAGAAACTTTTCGAAAATTTGCATTGTCTAAATTTTTTTTTCCAGCTGTAAGCAGGAAGTAAAGGAAGTATAGGTTATGCAAAAATTATGCTTGTTGAACAATAATTACAGGAAAAATGTGAAAATTGTAGTGTTATAAAGTGAAAAAAAAAATAAGTGAAGATTTGTATTGACCAGTAATGAGAGATGTGTGCAGCCCTTTCCTGGTGCGGTTAGACTTCTTCAATTGGCCAGAGTCTGCGCTTAACTGACTTAATTTGGCTAAAAGTCGTTCTTGCAATTTTTCTTTGGTGATTTAACTAATATTTTTTTAATTCTATTCAGTGAAATTAAATCAACACATTCGAATTTAACAGATTTTTCTCAGTGAGTTATGACAAAGTTTTTAGTTTATGTTTGCATTAAGTATAAATAAATGAAAGTACAAACAAATATACATATATATGCATAGAAAAAGAAAATATATAAATGAAACTAAATATTGAAAGATTTCTCCAAAAAGAAAACCAAATCATCAATGACAAGAAATATAAAAATATAAAAAAAAAATATTACTTTATTGCAAAAAAAGTAAAAAAAAAACATTAGATTTCAATTTTTGTTTTCATATTTTTTATTTGTGTAAGATAAAAAAATCGTTCGTCTTTTTGTAGCAAATTAAAATATAATTATTTTTTATTTTTAATTTAAAAAATTAATTGCTCAAATATAAGGAGTTATTTCAAGGAATGTATAAATAACAAACAAAATTAAAAAAAATATATAATTTTTTTTTAAAAAGAAAAATTAATATAACATAAAATAGACAAAATCCCAAGAAATTCTATCGTTTTGGTTGAAACATTTCGAGATCTTAACGTTAAGTCAAAAATAAATTTCTTTTTTTTTTACCCGAAACGAAAAGCTGTCGTAATGTTTCATCGTTAACAGATAATGTTAAACGCTAAAATTGTAGTGTGCTGTTAAATCATAGCGAGTAACATAAAATTAACGTTAACGATTTCATTTCGTTTTGATAACATGGCGCCGAAACGAAACGATTCCATTTCGTTCAGTTAATTTTTCTTGTCAGCGAAGCGAAATAATATGGTTGCGTTTTTGAGCACCTCTGGTATAAACCCCATAATAATTGAAGGAAATATATTAATATATTATTAACCTTCATTTATTTACGCCAAGCTCGTGATTTTTTTACACGGACTTTCGATGAGTAATAGCGCATACATTTCTTTGGAGAAATTTAGCTTTAACTCTCTCTAGTAATGATTTTAACCCTTTCTATGCGGCTTTAGGGCAGTGAAGACAAATCTGTATAATTGCATTAAATGCGCTGTAAATTAATAAAAAAGCGTGCTTCCATAACTTCGGATTATTAGAAAATTTTAACTTATATATACCCGAAGTATTGAAGGTTTTAAGACAAAATATATTTAACAAAAAAGCTTTATTTATGTGAGCGACGCACAGAGTATTGCAAATTATTATCAGCTTTCATTTGGTTAAGCTAAGATTTTGGATTTATTACCCAAGCTTTCGGTTAGTAAAAGCTCATAAAGCTCTCTTAATAAAACTACTTTCAAATCTCTTTAGTAATGATTTCAAGACAAATTTTTCAGGTTTCAGCAGCTAAATCGGAAGGTGCTACGGATTAATTGATACCTCCGAGGTTTACAATTGTTCGGTTTACATTGGAAAGCATGATTTTCCTTCCATGAACTCTTTAAGTTGCTTATGATAAGCAAATGGTGCGAAAATTATCTGTGGCTACTTTTGAAGGTTTCAAAATCGTTCTATGTGCTTGGAGGTGATGAAGTACCATGCGATATGGAAGATTTAAATCGATCAGCTACGGACTAATGGAATCTATCATTTTGCCTTAAGAACTCATGAAATCAGCATCGGGCAAGTGTTTAACATACGCAAGGTTTTGATTGAATTTCGGCGCTATTTTCTACTCAGCAACGCGAAAATACATCCATTATCAGCAACGACGGTTTGGTCTTTCATTGAGATAACACTGTCTACGTGGAGCCGAACGAGTTTTTGCCTTGTAATATCTCGCTTGTTTATTTTGATTGAATTTTTTCAAGCAATTTCACTTTCTTTCATGCGACAATTAGGCATGTCGAACTTATTGATAAAAGTTTTAAGCGATGACAAATTAATGTCGGCTGAACAACGAGTGACCAAATCACTGAGATTTTATAACGATTACCTACGTTGTACGACTGGTTTTTACGCTGAGCAGCAGAAGTGTAGTCAGTAACAGTAATTGTTGAGTGCATTGAGTAATAATCAATATTTAGAGCAAGTAAATGAGCACAGGCAAATAGAGTTGCTCAGGCAGGCGTAGAAATATTGAAATTTACGCTGTTTAATTGACTCTCTTTCATTCAATATTGGCGGCGAGCGCAGCTTTTCTTCATGTCCGACGACAGCGCAGAAGTTTTGTAATTATTATTATTTTTTATGAATAATTTTTTTCATTTTATAATTTTAATTTAATTTTTTTTTTATTTACCTCTTTTGTTTTTATTATTTATCTTTATTTTTTTTTTATTAATTTTTTATTATACATATTTTTTTTTATTCATCACCGCGTTTTCACTTTTATTACCCATTTCTGCTGCTGCACTAAACAAACAATTTGCAGTAACTTGTCATCAGCCATTTAGCGCTACCTTTTTTTTTGCTGTTTTTGTGCGGTGGCGTAAGCTTCTATGGTTTAACTTCGAAACTAAGCACAGCGCGCGAAGCAACAACAAGTGGCACTGCTCGGCTGTCAGTGCAGGTGCTGGTGGTGATGGGTGCNAATGTTTCATCGTTAACAGATAATGTTAAACGCTAAAATTGTAGTGTGCTGTTAAATCATAGCGAGTAACATAAAATTAACGTTAACGATTTCATTTCGTTTTGATAACATGGCGCCGAAACGAAACGATTCCATTTCGTTCAGTTAATTTTTCTTGTCAGCGAAGCGAAATAATATGGTTGCGTTTTTGAGCACCTCTGGTATAAACCCCATAATAATTGAAGGAAATATATTAATATATTATTAACCTTCATTTATTTACGCCAAGCTCGTGATTTTTTTACACGGACTTTCGATGAGTAATAGCGCATACATTTCTTTGGAGAAATTTAGCTTTAACTCTCTCTAGTAATGATTTTAACCCTTTCTACGCGGCTTTAGGGCAGTGAAGACAAATCTGTATAATTGCATTAAATGCGCTGTAAATTAATAAAAAAGCGTGCTTCCATAACTTCGGATTATTAGAAAATTTTAACTTATATATACCCGAAGTATTGAAGGTTTTAAGACAAAATATATTTAACAAAAAAGCTTTATTTATGTGAGCGACGCACAGAGTATTGCAAATTATTATCAGCTTTCATTTGGTTAAGCTAAGCTTTTGGATTTATAACCCAAGCTTTCGGATAGTAAAAGCTCATAAAGCTCTCTTAATAAAACTACTTTCAAATCTCTTTAGTAATGATTTCAAGACAATGTTTTCAGGTTTCAGCAGCTAAATCGGAAGGTGCTACGGATTAATTGATACCTCCGAGGTTTACAATTGTTCAGTTTACATTGGAAAGCATGATTTTCCTTCCACGAACTCTTTAAGTTGCTTATGATAAGCAAATGGTGCGAAAATTATCTGTGGCTACTTTTGAAGGTTTCAAAATCGTTCTATGTGCTTGGAGGTGATGAAGTACCATGCGATATGGAAGATTTAAATCGATCAGCTACGGACTAATGGAATCTATCATTTTGCCTTAAGAACTCATGAAATCAGCATCGGGCAAGTGTTTAACATACGCAAGGTTTTGATTGAATTTCGGCGCTATTTTCTACTCAGCAACGCGAAAATACATCCATTATCAGCAACGACGGTTTGGTCTTTCATTGAGATAACACTGTCTACGTGGAGCCGAACGAGTTTTTGCCTTGTAATATCTCGCTTGTTTATTTTGATTGAATTTTTTCAAGCAATTTCACTTTCTTTCATGCGACAATTAGGCATGTCGAACTTATTGATAAAAGTTTTAAGCGATGACAAATTAATGTCGGCTGAACAACGAGTGACCAAATCACTGAGATTTTATAACGATTACCTACGTTGTACGACTGGTTTTTACGCTGAGCAGCAGAAGTGTAGTCAGTAACAGTAATTGTTGAGTGCATTGAGTAATAATCAATATTTAGAGCAAGTAAATGAGCACAGGCAAATAGAGTTGCTCAGGCAGGCGTAGAAATATTGAAATTTACGCTGTTTAATTGACTCTCTTTCATTCAATATTGGCGGCGAGCGCAGCTTTTCTTCATGTCCGACGACAGCGCAGAAGTTTTGTAATTATTATTATTTTTTATGAATAATTTTTTTCATTTTATAATTTTAATTTAATTTTTTTTTTATTTACCTCTTTTGTTTTTATTATTTATCTTTATTTTTTTTTATTAATTTTTTATTATACATATTTTTTTTTATTCATCACCGCGTTTTCACTTTTATTACCCATTTCTGCTGCTGCACTAAACAAACAATTTGCAGTAACTTGTCATCAGCCATTTAGCGCTACGTTTTTTTTTGCTGTTTTTGTTGTAACATGTTGTGCTATGCTTTTTATTGATATGTTGCACGCTTAACTGTCACAGTTGAGACACTATAAGCGCCTAATTGCTTTTCGGTAAATATGGTGTTGACAACGTGCATATCCACTGAGACACACTGTACACTTGCATGTACATACATACAATATGTAATAGCCGATTTTGTCATTGGCGCTTATGCCAAAATGGTTAATAATATATGTATGTATGTGTGTTCGCCTGACTTTTTGAGGAGTTGTTGCATATTCACACTGAAATTTGCAGCATTGCAATTCAATATTTCACCATATTAATATTTGATTGAATATTAGACATATTTTATTGACATCTCGTTTTGTAAATAATATTATTTTTTATTGTAGAAAATGTTTACTTGCCCGTTGTTACATATTTGTTTGTACCAAATAAGCGCAAAAGTGACAAATGGATATGCAGTTTCGCCTAAAGATCAGTTTGAGTTTGGCAAAGTTTGGCTACTCCATTGGCTGCAAAAATGTAACATATATTCATTCATATAATCAAATATAATTATACAGCTCTTGCAAGTGGAAGAAGTGTAGAACTATATAGAGTTTTATGCCTCAAAAAGGTATAGTAGAACCCTGCTGTTGAAAACAAAGGTTAATCCAATGCAGATAAGAATTAGCATTCACCAATCACAATGAGTTTGTAGATTTGTTAGATATTTGTAAAAAAAAAAATAAAAATTAATAAAAATACCTACGTGCATATAGACCTGACTACGAAAGTGGGCGTTTTGCCGCACAATTAAACGTGTATAAATTATCACAAAAGTCTAATCTAAGCAGTAAATTATAAATAATGAGTTTATCAACTAAACTGTCATACTCAACATGTTTTGTATGTACATATGTTTTCATGTATTTGACTGACAGATAACTAATTAGATATTTTATGTATGCATATGTAAAACAAGTAGTAATCTTGACCAATTTGAATAGAAAATGGAAGGAGTTTAGCTGTAATTTTATGGTTCTGTTTATATTATATATGATGCTTGCATAAGCATGACTTGGAGAGGGATCATACAAAATAAAATAAAATATAGTTAAAAAAATAAAAAATGAAATGAAATAAAATAAAATAAAATGCAATAAACTTCTATAAAATATAATAAAGTAAAGTAAATGAAAAAAAAAAAAATAAAATCAAATGAGGTGAAATATAACATAATAAAATAAAATAAAATAAAATAAAATAAAAAATGAACGAAAATAAAATTGAAATATAGAAAACCAAATAAAATACAATAAATTAGAATTAAAACAGAAGATAAAACACAATTAAATAAAAAATAAAAATAAAAAATTAGATTAAATCAAATAATAAAACACAAAACTTAATGAAATAAAATAAAATAAAAGATGGAATGAAATTAAAATAAAAAAATTCTAATCAAATAAAAAATAAAGTAAAATAAACAAAATAAAATAAAACAAAATATAATGAAATGAAATAAAACAAATTAAAACAAAAAATATAAATAAAATAAAATAGAATAAATAAAGTAAAATAAAATAAGATAAAACCAAAAATAATATAAAATAATAGAAAGTAAATTAAATTAAATAAATTAATAAGATTAAATAAAATAATTTAGTATAAAACAAATAAGCATAATTAAAATAAAATAAAATAAGATAAAACAAAAAATAATATAAAATTATAAAAAGTGAATTAAATCAAATAAATTAATTAGATTAAATAAAATAATTTATTATAAAATAAATGAAATAAGCTTAATTAAAATAAAATAAAATGAGATAAAGCAAATTAATATAAAAAGATAATACAAAATCAAATAAATTAAAATGAAATATGTTAAAATAAATTCAAGATATAATAAAAAAATTAATAAAAAAAAATTAATAAAATAAAATAAATAATTTAATATGAAATAAAATATACTAATGTACTAATAAAACAAGCAAAAATAAAAAAATAAGAGAAATAAAATAAAATAAAATAATATAAAATAAAATTAATTTAAAAAATATACAATAAAAAGAATTGTTGAAAATAAACTGAAAAAATTAATTTAAAAATATAGAATAATATGAAATAAAACAAAATCAAATAAAAATATTAAACAATACAAAGCAAAATAAAATAATAGAAAAATGTACTAATAAATAAAAGTAAAACAAAATAATAGAAAATAAAATTGGAAAACAAAATAAAATAAATAATTTAATATGAAATAAAATATAATAATGTACTAATAAAAAAAGCAAAAATAAAAATAAGAGAAATAAAATAAAATAAAATAATATAAAATAAAATTAATTTAAAAAATATACAATAAAATGAAAAAAAAAATAAGAGAAATAAAATAAAATAAAATAATATAAAATAAAATTAATTTAAAAAATATACAATAAAATGAATTGTTGAAATTAAATTATAGAAGAAATTAAAAATATAGAATAATATGAAATAATACAAAATCATATAAAAATATTAAGCAATACAAAGCAAAATAAAATAATAGAAAAATGTACTAATGAATAAAAGTAAAATAAAATAAAAGAAAATAAAATTGAAAATGAAGTAAGGAACTAATGTGGAAAGCATTTAATCTTGCATAAGTATATAGACGTAATATTACTTTTATACCCATATTAAGTATGTATATAATAGAAAAGCGTAATGTTAAAATATAAGTAAAATTTTTTGAAACATGTAATAAAATATTTTGGCAATTTGAATTAATTAAAATTTTTATTTAAACTTTATTAGCTTAGTCGACTTCGTTTACGGCCAGTTTCCTTTAACAAGCAATTACACGTATATTATATGATACAAATGGTTTTACAGCAAAACAGTTTGTGTTCATTAGCGTTTAAAGTGTGTCCAATTTGGTTATTTGATTAGATAAAACTGAAAAATTGAGCAAAAAAAAATTCAAAGCAAAAAAATATTACACATTTGCGCTGAAATAATATTGTCTATGAGTGCTACCGCTACTGCGAGACCAGCTAAGAGGCAGTCAACGTTGAGTGTTACATATGTACACGTATATATGCATGTTTACATTTACTAATGCATATTAAGGTGTTTAATTGTTTATTTCGTCGATCGGTTGTTTGAGTGGCGAGGGGGAGATTTTTTTCATTTATATTCGTAGGCGAGTCTATGTCTTATAATATAAACAGCTGCTAAATGGACGTTCTGTTTTCATTTTCATTCGTATTTGCTGTATATTTGTGAGCATGCGCAAAATCGCATAAGACACTCAATCGGTAAATATTTGCCTATATGTACTACTCAAGTAGCTCAAATATGCACTAAACATATTCATATGTATGTATGTACATATAAAAAACTCGAGTTGTTGTTTAAATGAGATTGCTGAATGGCATTTTAATTGGTACGAAGTGTGAGTTTGATTAGTCAATAAGCACTTTTGTCTACACATGCGATTATTTAACGACTACTTCTTTATAGCGAGAAGAAAAACAAGATTTCAATGACATTTATATTGCTGACTAGCAGTGTAATGCAGAGATGTGAGAAACGGGCGGGTGGGTAAGCAAAAAAGTCTAACTTTTAAATGCTGTTCGATGCCAGGTAGATGAGTTCCGGCTGTAAGTTTTTCGGCTCATTCCACGAGAGTGGCTTTGTGGTTTTAATATTTTTTAGAGAAAGCTTTCTAATCACTGAAATTTTCAAAACCATTCTCTAGGAGCATCGCTAGATGTCATTAGTTCCCGAGCCTAGTTGCGCGAAATCTTAATATCTTTTGAAAAAATCTCGGCATTTCAGTCAGTAGGTAAATTTTTAGCAAGAAAATAAAAAAAATAAAAAAATAAAAGCAATAAAAAGTGCCAAGAGAAGTAAACTTTAATAAATTATATTAATGTTGAAAATTTCTATTTTGTATGTTGCAGTAAGACTGTTGCTTGGCTCGAGAAAATAACTCATCTGCTGACTCGGTAACTCGGTAGTTGGGTCGACGTTAAGATCATTATTTTCATTTCTCTTATGCAAAAGATTTCTTTATTTTCTTAGTATTTTTTCTTCTTCTTTTTCTTGCTGAGTGATGAGTAGTCGTGCGCCTGTTGCTGCTGCTGTTGCTGCTGTTGTTGCTACTGTTGACGGCGTGTTTAGCTTATCTTAAATACAATCAAGATGTGTCGCACGTTTATCACTTCTTTCCACAGCTGACACTTTCCAGCATTCACACAGAAAGCCAATTGGCTCTTTCACACACACACACGCGCGCACACACATACATATATAAGAGAGCATGAGATTTAAAGTTTTTTTTTGAATGATGAGTGATTGCTGGTGATGACTTCCGTCAAATGGCCACATAATTGTTTTATTGCCTCTGTCATTTTAAAATAAAGTTTTTTTCTATTTGAATTTAGCGCATTGATTGCTTTCCTTAATTATATATTAATTATTTGCATTAAAAATTTCGCGCTGTACTTTCCATTATTTGTTTTTCATATTTTCATATTTTTCTTAATTTTTTTTTTTAATAAAGTAGTGAACACTATTTCTCTTTCTATAAATCGTGACAAATCGCAGCTTAATAATTTCTCCTTGTTGCTTTTTGTTGTCAATAACCTTTGCTTGCATTTAGTTTCTTTTTTTTCGTTTTTTTTTTTGTCTTTTTTCATCTAATCTTTTACGGAGCCTTTTTCTAGGGACTCCCACGCCTTTTTGTACGTACTTAATAATGTATGTATGTTAACTTATCTGCAGGTATACATATGCTTTGTTGTAGCTAAAGCCCTATCACATATTTTTCGTTTCACGTGGTCGGGCATAAGAAAAGCAATTAATTAACATTTTTGCTTAGTGATTTTTCAGTTCTTTTTCCCACCTTAAGTTATATTTCTTTATTATTTCTTAGGAGCACATGCTTGCACGTCATGTATGTATGTAGATGGTGTTTTTAGGCAAATATTTTTGCCCCATTTGTTAGTTTGCATAGCCGCGAAGTTTTTACTTCATTCGATTTTTGTTGAGTTGTTGACAGCTGCCACTTTTAGGTTGACAAACTGTCAACAGTTTGATTATTTTCATCTCACTAAGCCTGCATTTGCATTTTACATTTTGAGAGCCACGTTCCAAGCTGAGTTTGATTTATGAATAAAGTTTTTTTTTCGTTTTTTATTAAGGAAATGTAAGTTAAGTAGGGCAAAATGGTGAATATTGGAAAAGGTTGTGATTTTCATTTTTCGAAAAATTCAAAGCTTAGTTCTTTGTAAGATATATTTAAATTTAGAGCTCTTTTTGTTAAAAATATTTTCGTTTTTCTCCTTCCGAAACTCAAGATTACCTCTTCGAAACAACCGTTTTCGCTCGATAGAAGGCAATAAAAGGGAATTCGAAGCGTAAACTGAAATTGTTTCGAGAAATTTGAGTTTCAAATATGTTCGAAGGCTATAAAATACAAGAACAATACATGAAACATTAGCAGAAAACTTATTTTGTTCTATTCCGAAAGTTAAGCTGCTGGAATCTTAAGAAAAACTATTCCCAATAAACCATATACACGATGTCCACGACAAAGTAGTGCGGCTAAAACTGGCTTTTACCGAAAAAACAGTCACTAGATGGCTGAATGTGATTACTCGTAACGTGATCCGACAGCTATGGCAAAAAATGGAAAAGAAAGTATTAAGCCATCGTAATCTTCTAGACCGATTTTCCATTAGCATAAAGACAGATGTAATAACAAGCCACTGTGCAATGATCCCTTACGGAAAAACAATGGGCCGCAGTCGCAGGGAGAAAGAAGTGGAAGTGCTTATTTAACACTACCTGTTCAGAAATCTGCGCGACACAAGTTCCTCGAGAAACACTTATTGGACTGTCTCGCTGACACACGTGCAATGGTTCGAGCATTTGAGAAGCTGAAGATAGCAGCCGCGCACAGTGGTATCAAAACTGGCCTTTTGGCCTAAGTGCTCACCTAAATTCAATTCATCTGGTGCAAATATGGTTTTCAGAATTGGAACAGTATTACCTCTGATTGAGAACTTGCATTGCTCTCAGTTAGTTCATTATCCGAACATAGTTTTTTTTTGTTTGGTACTCACCTAGAAAGAGAGAAAAAATAAATTACTTTAGACTGAATTTTAATTTTATTTAAATTAAATATATATAAATTGGGTATTTCTTTCAATTTGCACGGGACAAGAGTGTGATTTTAAATCAAAAGAAAAGTAAACAATTTAAAATGGCTTTAATTTTAATTTATATATTGGTCATATTAAGTCACCTAACACTCATGCTTAGGTGCAAGTCAAATATGGACATCAGATACAAATAGTTTTTAATAATGGTTTCTTCCGGGCAATTTTGATGCAAAATCTGCTTCACAGTATGGAAGGAAGGCAAATTGTTGAAAATGTCGATAAAATGTTGAAAATCGTCAAGTATGTCCACTGTTTCGCTTGATGAGGAGCTAAATATTGTACAAAAAACGGTTTGGAATTACTTAAAGAAGGCTGGATACACAAAGAAGCTCGATTTGTGAGTACCACATGAGAAAAAACCCCGTGAACCGAATTTTCATCTGCGAATCTCTGCTAAATCGTAATAAAATCGATCTCTTTCTAAAGCGGATGGTGACTGGTGATTGAAAAATAATCCAAAACAACAAAGTCAAACGAAAACGATCGTGGTCGAAGTGCAGTAAGTCGCTACAAACGGTTGCTAAGCCAGAATTGATGGCTAGGAAGGTTTTGTTGTGTGTTTGGTGAGATTGGCAAGAAAGCTATCACTATGAGCTGCCGCCCCTACGGCCAAATTCTTAATGCGAACCTGTGCTGCTAGCAAGTTCGCCTATAAGCGCCCAGCTTTCGTAAATGGGAGGAGAACTGTGTTTCATAAGGACAACATCAGAGAACACACTACGACAGTAACTCGGCCGAACTTGCGAGAGCTTGGTTAGGAGATTTCACCTTATAGTTCGCATCTCACATCAAGTCATTGCTGTTGTTGTAACCGCAAAAATATTCCCCAAAGTACTTTTTGGAGAAGGATGCGAGAGTGACAGTCCTTGGCCGGATAAAAGACCGAGTCGTTCCGGTATAAAAACCCGGTTGTCGCGGGAACTATTGGATTTTAGTCGCCTCTTACAACAGGCATGCCTTACCTGGGGTAAATTCTTGAAACCTTAACCCGCAGACGTGAATGACTGCTTTTGAAGTATTTTCCTCTAGGGAAGCATTTAAAAATCGATTCTAGCAATTTTTTGTTAATAACGATAGGGGTTTCTATAAGAGAGGCATAATGGCATTACCTTTAAAATGGTAAAAAGTTATCGAGCAAAACGGCTCATATTTTTTATAATTCGGATAATTCTAATTATGGTAAATAAAACCATCAATTTAATGCAAAAATAATGCTTGACTTTTTAGTGTTTTTTTTCTTAAATATTTTTTTGCTTTTAAACGAAGTGCAAGAGATCTTACATTCGCACGGGATAATCAATTTTGCGAGCTTAGTTTTTTCTTAGATTTTTTTATAATATATAATATATAATTTTTATAAAAGTAAGTGTAGGAAAATAATTGTTAAAAGCCGCAAATTTTTTTGTTATAAGAAAATTTGATATGGAGCCTAAAGGTCAAGAATTCCAAGTCAGTAGTAGAAAATTAGCTAGAAAAATATACAAGGCTTCCATTTTAGTCACACAGCTCAAAATTTATTCAACTTTAATTGATGTATAAAAGTCGATAAAAACCTTCCAAAAAAAATAATAATAATAAAAACATAAGAGAACTAAACAAAAGGGTTCCAAACTATGAATTCTGCGTAAAATAATAATAGTTTGCTAAAAAAAAAAATGTTTAAAGTCATGGGAAGCATCATTGTGCTAAAGAGAAAGAATTTAGAGGAACTTAGCTGGCGTTGTGAAAAGGCTGAAGGCGCAAAAAAAAAAAAAAACAACAACAGAAAAAGAAAAAAAGACTGACAATAATATTAAGTAAGAAGCCAAGAAATTGAAAAAGATGAAAATATGAAGTTTGCCAACAACAATGCTTAGAAAACAATTAAACGCAATAAAGCATACTTTTAGAGCGCACTTAGATGCATTAAAGATTGGCTGTCTTAAAGCAATTATTTGCATAATTGAAATTACACAGAACATACTAGTACATAAAGCTATATACTAATACATACATACACATTTATATTCATATTTGAGCATTGTTGTTCTATGAGAAAGTACAAATGCAAAGGTAAGTGATATCCCAAGTGGATACTACTCAGTAGATCTGCACATCTTCTATGTACTCGCTCCGTGGCCAGCTTTGAGGCAAGCAAATATAAAAGAAAGAATTAAGCGTTTAAATGTGCTAAACAAAGGCATCGGCAAGAATTGACAAGACTTGAATACTGGAAGATCATGAATGATAATGGCATTGACGTATATTTCCATTGTTTGATGACATGCAATTACAAGTTGTTGTTCCCCCTCCTCCCTCACTCTCTCTCTCTCTGTCTCCTCTATCTCTCTCCTCATATTTGTGGTTGCTTGTACACAAATTGTTGCGGTTTGCGGTATGACAAGCAGAAATCATGTTAGTTTAACCACACGGAACAAATGCGTCATGTTCATTGTTCAGCAACTGAGCCCAAAAGAAGCAGTAGAGGAAGGAGCGATGGAGGAGTAAGAAGCAAAAGAAAGGAAATTAGATAGACTTGGGCTTACACATATGAGGTACAAGCTCGTTGACAAAAATTCTACGGTAACTGGAGAAAGCAATGTGAAATTGCAAAAAAAAAAAAAAGAAAAAATATAGCGACAACGAAGGAAATGTTACAAGTTGTTGGTAATTTGAGGCATGCGACAAACGCAGCCACGCATGCGTTTCGCAAAAAATGTGAAATAAAAAATGCGGACGTGGTACATTCTGCTTGTTCTTCTTCTCTGCCATCTACTCAAGGCATACACAACTGTGGGGGTGATAGTTAATTTTCGTTTACAAGCGTTGCTTACTGTTCGTGGAAGCCACTAACGGTATACGTGAGCGAATTGTTATCAAGTTGAAGTGCGTGCATTGGTATGAAGTTACCCTAAACGGTTGCTAGTTTCTGTTTAATGCAATTTCATGCACTACTTGTGAAAGTGGAAGCGATGTGACCCAATAAAATGTGCTCCATTTTTGGGGGATCAAGAAGAAGCGTCTCGGACTGAGAGGAATCTCGATGTAGCAACGGAGTAACACTATTTGCCAACCGGTGCTACTTTGGATATAGTAGGCTCTCTAAAAATTAAGTCCTCTCTCGACGAACAAAAACTAAACTCTACAAGTCTCTCATCATTCACGTTCTACCAGGGTTGGCTGGGTCATGTGATCCGCATGGATAAGAATATTTCAGCATTGCAATACCAGCCAATAGAACGAGAGCAAGGAGAGCATTTCCATTCCGTTGGTAAGACCAAGTAGAGAGACCAAGTAGAAAAGGACCTGACTCATGTTGATATTTCCAATTGGCGCCAAACAGCAAAAAGAAAATTAATTTAAAAATAAAAATGTTTAATAGCATTCGCCCCCCGGCAGGGAAAGTCAACCCACTCTTTCAATCCCATTAACCAAATGTCTTCAATCAAGATAATGATTTACAATTAAAAAGTTAAAAATATGAATTTATAAACACATTTATTATTATTTTTTTTTTTACTCACAAACAAACAAAATCTATATCCAAAGCAGCTTAGAAGCAATCATCAATGTTGTCCAATCGACCGTCGCAGTAGTGCCAGGTGGACCAGGCAGAAAAACCTTGCATGCGTAGGACCTTTTGAGCACAACGCACAGAGGGTTCAATATCGTTGGTCAACAAATCATCGCAACTGATGTCGCACTGGTTGTAGGAGAAGCGACCGTCGGCAGGTTGACACCAGTAATAATCGTTGATCTGGAAGATACCGTAATCGTTGGAGCCATTGTAGTTGGTGGGACCGACGACATAAGTGCGGTAGGAACTCTCATGTTCGGCGATGCAAGCCCAACGTGCCAATTGATCTCTGGGCACACCCAAACGGGACATCTCACGAGCCAAAGAGCAACGGTTCAACACATCACCAAAAGCGGACGCGGCCAAAGCCAAAGTGACGAATAGAATAGCAAAAACTTTCATTTTTTTTTCTGCTGAACTGTTGCTTAATTTACTATGCAAGAGACTGTTGGTTTTCGATTGTAGCTCGGTGTCTTTTATAGGTCTGCAGGTGGCGCGCAATGCATTATCTAAATTTTGTGTATAATTGGAGACACTAGTTTAGAAGATTTCTTTCACTTGAAAGCCACTTTCCGTCACACATTGATTGATATCACAAAACACGTGTCGGCATTTTGGTCTGCAGGTTGCTATAAAAGTCGACTGGACATGCACCTTGAGATAGATAAGCCATATTTTTGCTACTGAACCAAAAGTGTTGTTGTTGCTTCTGGGTTGTACTCGTACTAAATGAGAAAGATTTGTTTACTTTCGATGAATTAAGATAAAATGAATTTTGATAAGATAGCTGTGTACATACATACATTGCAGTTTTGGTCTAGAAACGAAGAAACGATAAGTATGGTGGTTCACCGAGATTAGCTAGCATATCGACATTTCGCGTGGCTTGGTTCTAGAAATTTATCTTGAAGAGCTGATCACACGATTGTTTATATTCCAATTTTCAGGAAGATGCGCAAACTGGTTAGGCAAACACTTGAAAAGTAACAGAAAGAACTCAAGTTCGCTGACTTCAATAAGAATTAAGAAAAAGTTGTTCTTGCCTTTAGGTCATTTAGTGGAAAGCTCAGAAATAAGTAGAAGGTAAACTCAAACCAAAACTTGAACTCGTCTAATTAATATGCGGCTCAGAAATGAGTAATTCCTGCATACTCGGCCTAAGCGGGTCTTAGTTGATTAGGTTTTAACGGCCATACAAAGAGGAAGACCTGATTTGTGTCATCCGAGGAGCGATTACACAATATACTCGTATTATGGAGCTGCATCCTTATGAACACTCATTGCAAACGATTTGTTGAATGACAGCAATGAACCCTCTGTGCATTGTGTTCAAGGAATCCTACGTATGTGGTCCGCCTGGTCCACTTGGCACTACTGTGACGGCCGTTTGGAGTGATGATTGCCTCTAAGATAAGAAGATTTTTGTAAATCTTGCTGAAATAAATGATTGAAAATATGTACAAAATTGTTTGTTATTTATTTTTATTTTTATTATAAATATTTTCTTAGTGTCGCACGGAACAATTTCGAGCATTTTTACTGCGAAAAAATAGATAATTCCAAAATGGTTCTTATAGTGTTTGTAGCCTCAACTTGTAGCTATTACAATTTTAGTTGGCTTTGTCGTTTGTTCCGAGAATTTTGTTGTTGTTGTTTTATGAAGGAACTTACGATGTCGTAGGATACCAAAAATTCATCTTTACAGTCAAACGCATTTTTCTTATCGCAATCGAAAGACTTTGGAGATAAAAAATTTATAAAAAAAATATTGCTAAATGCCCAGTCTAGAATCCGTTAGGAATTTAAACAAAAAAACATATTTTTTAATTAAATAAAATTAATTGATTTCATTTGAGATGAAACTTCAAGTAAAATTAATCAAGTGATGGCTTTATTTTTCATAATAAGAATCAATTTGCTCGATAACCTTTTGTCATTTTGAAAATTTTTGTAATGTCAGTATGCCTCTCCCATAGACACCTTGTCCCTATGGGGAAAAAATTATGACATTGAATTTCCACAGGTTTCTCTTAAGCTCATTTGTTCCACAGACAGGAACAGATGGTAAGCCCCTCTGTGCTTTAAGTGAATCACTATCGGTGTGTGTGGTGTGGTCCACCTCCTGCTGGCCAAAGCTGGCTGCTACTGCGCAATTGCTTCTTTCCGACGGTCTAATTTCTTATAGCACAGTTCCGAATTGAGAGTTTGTCCGCAGAGGTTCATGTCATAGTGGATGATTTCTTGCCAAATGCGCCAAACTCACAAGAAAACCATCCATCCTCGCTTGGAGACGTTTGCGCCGGCGCACAGCTCTACGATCACTACGTTTCTTTTGGCGTTGCTGGAAGTGATTCACTTTTAATTTTATCCTGGAAAATACCTCTAAGAAATCTACTTTATTTTGAAATTTTTCTTCTTGACGGATGTTTGTGCAATTTTTTGCCTTGTCATTATCTCTGCTTGAAATAAATTCTCCAGCCGTTTTATATGTGTATTAATTCAAGCGAGAACTTTGTGGGCGTCGCGCATCAGTTAAGCGGCTGAGGAACTTGTTAAATGGGGCAACGAAATTGCAGTGGATGGAATAATAACCTGATAAGCTGAAATTATATTAAAATGCGAAGAGAATTTAAATTATACCTATGTATGTATGTACGCAGGGTGAAAAAAGCTTCAAAAGTATTCAACTTGACAAGGGAAACATTTTACACGAGTTGTGTTTTTCTACGCTCATACTATGACATACGAGTACATGCGAAAGAATATATGTACATATGTATGTATATATGTAAATTAAAATTATAATAATTATTATTGCATTTACAATTCACATGCATTTTACTTTTATAACTTATGTGTATGTACGCGCAATTTTCCATCGAACTCAGCTAACCTCACTTTTTTTGTGGAGTTTTCCTTTAAGAACTCCGGTTAGGGAGTGCAGCAAAGCATGTCCACTTAATCATTGACAAGATTATAACATATGATAAGTGGTAAGTACAGCCATACTACATATGTACATGAGACGTACAAGTGCACCAAGAATATACGTTTGTATGTAAATGTATTGAAAAGGGTGCAAAGAATTGGTGTGAATGAAGATGGAAGTGTCTAGACCATTACTGAAGGTAAAATATAGTTGAAGTTTCTGGCAGTGGCTCCGCTAGTGGTAGTATTATAAAAGAGCTGACGGAAACTTCCTCTTCTTAACTCTTAAGTGCCATGCATGTATAATTTGCGCCTTATAATCGCTGAAGCAATTTTCCGACGTTCATGCTCGAGTTGGATTTTGTCAGCCCGCAAACCAATGCCCATCCACAAAACTCTTCCATATAGTGGATGGGCACAGCTCTAATTGTTTAGCGCGAAAGAGATGATAAGTAAACTGACGTTAACTACACCGATCTGAGTAAAGCATTCGAATGGGTTAATCACTAAATTCTCATTCATGAACTCGATCATCTGGACTTTCAACCAAGATTTCTTCAATAGACACTTTATCACTTTTCATTAATGTCTTTTTAGGACTTCCTTAAGATAGCCATGTGGTCCCTATTCTGTTTGTTTCTGTAATTCATAAATGATATATCTTCGGTGATAAATCATTTAAATATCCTGTTATATGCCGATGTTGTTAAACTTTTTATGTCATATACCTCATTCGTCGAAAGACGTCTGTTATAAAAACCATCTAGACAATATAGCTATCTGGTGTGATAACAACAACTTGCCTTTGAACCTGAAGAAAAGTAGAACCATGTGGTTTTCCACAAAGACTTGTTCAACCTTCTCCTTATATAGTTAATAACTGTAGTCTAGAGCAAGTCGTCAACTTTGTTGTTTTGGGGATTATGATGGACCCTAAGCTCAATCTCCATATTCATTGTGTAATCGTTGGGCTTATATATATCATTATCATTCGGATCTTCTTCGATACACTAGTACACAGAAGCGAAAGCGTCTTCGGTGCAAATTATCCACTACACTAAATGTGGTGCGAAGCCGATCTATGGTTGCTTGAATTACCGACTCTGCTGGACGATTATGTCGACCGAACACAGCGCGCGATATGTCGTGCGAACCGAACTATTATGTTTGTAATAAATTTAAATTTGACCGCTGGTCATGATGCCTGTAGTCCTTACATAAAACCCTATTACCTTAGTTATGTTTACTGTCTTTAGACTGAGCGTGTCGTACGATTGCTTTGAACTAACTTCGGCATGATTTTCTTAAATTTACGGCATAGTCATATGTAATCCCATCTTAATATAGGTCCTTTTTTAGTCTTTCTTTAGGCAACACTGCACCATTTATTGCGTTAAAATACATTAAGGATTCAGAAGTGAGCGAAAATTTTTGCGAGTGGCAGCCTTTAAACTATGAAGAAGTTATATCTTCCTCGTTGCCGCAAACTCCAGCCTAACAGAGTTGGGTACGCATGGGTGTCAGAAAATTAAAGATATCATTAAATTTAGTAGACTTTACAGTAACACAAGGTTGAGTTAAACTCCAAAGCACAGTGAGCTTACTCAATTTCTTAAGTGCGTCGCGCTCCCATTCCCGAAATGCTAACAATTTTTGAACTTTAGTCCACCAGCTCGAAATAATTACTCGAAAGATAATTAAGTTAGAAAAATTTGGTGACTTTTCTTAAACTTATTTATAGATTTGTATATGTTTGAGCAAATAAGTGAAATTATCATTCTGGTTGCATATTCGGTAAGTTAAATGTTATAGCAAATATGATAACAATTATCAATCAGCCAAAATCTCTTTAAATCAGTATAAAAGCGCCTCGCTTCGCTTAGGAAAATATCAGTTTCTTCTACTGTTTGCACTAACTAATCTACAAACCATGAAAGCTTTCACCATCTTATTCTTCGCTTTGGCTTTGGCCGCACCCGCTTTTGGTGATGTGTTGAACCGTTGCTCTTTGGCTCGTGAGATGTCCCGTTTGGGTGTGCCTAGAGATCAATTGGCACGTTGGGCTTGCATCGCCGAACATGAGAGCTCCTACCGCACTTATGTCGTCGGTCCCACCAACTACAATGGCTCCAACGATTACGGTATCTTCCAGATCAACGATTACTACTGGTGTCAACCTGCCGACGGTCGCTTCTCCTACAACCAGTGCGACATCAGTTGCGATGATTTGTTGACCAACGATATTGAACCCTCTGTGCGTTGTGCTCAAAAGGTCCTACGCATGCAAGGTTTTTCTGCCTGGTCCACCTGGCACTACTGCGACGGTCGATTGGACAGCATTGATGATTGCTTCTAAGTTGAGTCGAACGATATATGTATATATACTTGTTGAAATTTCTGTTCGTTTGTTTAAATAAATTTGATTTTAATTGACTTGCAACTGCTTGTGTTTATTATTTTTTAATTTCTCTGTAGATAGTTCGCCTTTCTTTAGCAAACTTGGAAGTCTTCTAAGTTAGTTTCGTCTCTGGCTGACTTTCCTTAATGACACTTTAGGCACTTTTTGTTGGAGGCGCTGAGAAAAGGTTTCTTTGATATTATGTATATCAGACAGACCTCTTAAAACTGACCTTATTCGCTTTTTCCAATACAATATAAGAGTTATAAAGTGATTTTGGCCGTGCTCCCCATCCTTCAATTTGTGGTGTGCTTGATGTTATTCCAAAAAAATGGAGGGTGCTGCAGTTTATTCGAAGCCGCTTCCGAACAGCCGATGGGTTTCTGTGACGAGCTTATTTATTTCATGTCAGAAATACACTTGGCTGTCCTGCCGATGGGCGACCGCACTTTGGTCTTCCGTATGCAAACTCCTAACCACTCGACTATTGCACCTCGGGACGAAAAGTGCCTCAATCGGGGAAAGAAATAGACGCGGGTCTAAATTCGAACTCATTAATATGTTAAATTTATTATGATTTCAGGCAAGCTCTTCAAAAAATTGTTCTAAGAGACCAAGAAGATCCCTAGGTATTTA